TACAAATTTCCCAACAACCGTGAAACTGAAAGGGTTTTGAGCTGCCCTCCATATACAATTCCTCCGCTTGGCGTACCTAGAAAATATAATTAAAAAAATTTTAGGAAATTAATTCACGAAATTAAATGTAATATAATTAAACATTTAAAATAAACTGTAAAAACACTAACTTCGTCATAGTAATTGGCGCCGCTTTCATGTCTACGTGCTGCTGCTAATAGTGCTTGATGCCATTTATTCAAACTTGGATGAAGATGTTTCTTCCATCTTGAAGAACAACTTTCGTGGTTTCGGGTATTCGGTGGAGTGGTGCTTTCGTAGAACTCTAAGTATTTTTTGGACACACGAGTCCAAACACCTTCACTTGTTTGAGAAATCCCCCTCACACTATCTTCTGAGATCCATCTATAAGCCTTGCAAAGAGCTTCATCTTCTTTTCGGGTCCAAGCCCTACCTTTCATTGCAGATGAGGCCATTTTTTTTGAAAAAAAATGAAGGAAATATTGAAGGAAATATTGCAAATGAAGTGAAGAAATATTATAGATGAAGGAAATATTGGAAAATATATTGAAGGAAATATTGAAAAATTAAAAAAAATATTATAGATGAAGGAAATATTAGAAAATATATTGAAGGAAATATTGAAGGAAATATTGCAAATGAAGTGAAGAAATATTATAGATGAAGGAAATATTGAAAAATTGAAACAAATATTATAGATGAAGGAAATATTGAAAAATTGAAACAAATATTATAGATGAAGGAAATATTGGAAAATATATTGAAAGAAATATTGAAAAATTAAAACAAATATTATAGATGAAGGAAATATTAGAAAATATATTGAAGGAAATATTGAAGGAAATATTGAAGGAAATATTGAAAAATATTGAAGAAGGAAATATTGCAAATGAAGTGAAGAATTGAAAGAACTTCACCATATTTATAGAAGAAAAAAATGTTTAAAATAAATTAAAAAAAAAAAAAAAACAACGGCTAGTTGCAACGGCTAGCTGACTCAGCTAGCCGTTAGATTCAAAAACATTTCAAACTATTAGTGCGGTTATAACCGACACTAATAGCAGAACTATAAAAAAAAAAAAAACCCTTTAATGCTGTCGGTTTTAACCGACAGCAATAGGAAATATTAAAAAAAAAAATAGCCAGCCAGGGGCTGGCTGGCTGGCTGGTCGAAAGCAGCCAGCCCTCCAGCCCTCTCCGATCCCGTGGGACCCTCCCAGATTCCAGAGTCCTCTGGCCTAGCCCTCGGTTGGAGACGGTTTTAGGGCTATTTTCGGCCTTCTGGCCCTCTGGACCCTTCGGTTGGAGATGGCCTAAGCAGATTCCATAGGATTTTCAAGATGCCACCGTCAATAAACCATATGTTTTAATGCATTATTTAGCCTCGAAGTCGGTCTACCACACACTTAAGTGTACAATACTGTGTAATAAATTATCCTTTTTTTTTCATGTATATATTATTTCTAACATTTCAACTGTTTAACTCTCTGTATTCCTGATTTTTAATGAAAGATTTTTCTATTACTATATTATATTGGGCATCTGCTTCTTTGACTTGGGAAGGTAAGTGATAAGTTGCATCGTTTTTAGAGTGTCGCAAACTCACAGATCAGGGACAACTTATCAACATCCCTATGTGCATAATGCATGCATGTTTAAGGGATAAGGTTACAGAGATTAAAATTTTTAAATTAAATTTGTAAATTAAATAATGATTATTAATGATTGGATTATTATGTAAATGTCGATTAACGTGCTTATTATATATTGGTGACATATAATTTAATTTGCAAATTTGATTTAAATTATTGATCTTCCTAACATTACCTTTGTTTAAATTTTGGTATTCCTAACATTATTTAGTATTCCTTGATCCTACTCAGTAAGTTCAATACAAACATATGTTAAGAGAGGCTTATAGACTAGCACATAGGCTTGCTCGATCGGTATGGTTTGGCAATGGAATAAGACTTCCTTCGGATTGACAAACTTCTCGATTTTATTGGTGGTCTTCTTATTGAAGATGGTCTTTTTACGTAGTTTTTGGTGCGGGTGCTCTTTTTGATCTCTTAGTTCGGGTTAAATTTCTCCTTTTACCGGTATGCCCAAACAAAGCATTATATCTTCTGGTTTGCAGGTATGCTTCATAATGCTAATTAATGAATATCGTGCCATATTTATAAAAAATGCGAGTGGGTGGAAGCTTGAATTACATACTAATGATCATATTACTCATTAATTTGATCATTACATAATATTGTGTTGTATTATATACTAAGGTTCTAAAAGACATTACTAGTCAAGCGGCGTATTGGAGTTTAGCACCTAGGTGGCTAGGCGGGGGCCTAGGTAGACTAAACGGATTTAAGTAAACTTATTATACACCATATCAATAAGTGCTTGTTTATACTTAAAAAATATATAATTGTATTAGGATACATAGATTGAAAAATCAAATGACATATAGATTAGAAAATATTAAAACATAATGAAAACACGGGAACCAAAATATAATGAGTATTCATCCAAGTATTCAATAAGTCTTTTACAGTTTATTAAAATAAAACAAAACACAAAATGAAAGTTATATATTTTTTGTCTAAGTTAGAGTTGCGATTTAAGTGGGTGCCCAGGCGGGTCTAACCGCCCCTTCTTAATTTTCATACGCCTAAGGATTAATTGGGCGATAATCAGCAGCCTAGCACCTGAGCGGCGCTAGGCGGGGTTTAGATGGAGCCAGGCGGGACCTAAAAGGCGTCAAGCGGAGATTTTTAGAACGTAATATGTTTTTATCTATCCGTTTTTTGTCATCGCAGATTGAAGGACACATCCAAAATGCATTAAAATGGTGATGGCCTGTGGGAGTTTAATGTCATTTTGATTACGTTTCGAATTCGGCATGGGGATTTCCATATGGAATTCTAAGCTTTCCTATAGTCATATTTGGCATGCTAAAAATGATACTTGTCGTTCGGGAGGAGCATGTATATGGCATATTTTACACGCGGATGGTTGGTGGAGCTTCTCTTTAGGGTTGTGGAGGACGTCGTACTAGGGAGAATTAGACTCGTCAAATTATTCTTATATTGATACGATATATGCTTTCTGAATTCCAACCATTAGATTTCAATATCTGAGATGCACAATTAATTATAAAACATATATACATGTACAAAACAATGTTGTTTAAGAAACATTGACATACTGTGAATTCGGACCATTATTGTTAACCGGTGGGCTATTTGTGATGTTGATTTTGTTTGAGTTACAGATTTACTGTGTGGTAATTTAAGCATGATGATTACTGTCGAATTCTCTTATATGAGTGGATTACTATTTGAAGGTTAATTACTAATTAGTGCACCTCTAGATGATGATATATTATTTGCTCCATTACAAATTCCAGGTATTCTCTAGTCAGCTAATTTGAGTGATTAAAATTTGAGTCATACTCTCTCTCTTTTTCCCACTCCCAATTAGCGTAGATTAGAGAAATCTGGTGACCTACTGAGGAGAGATTCTTTAATGTGTCTATATTCCAAACACATACGTCATATGTCATTATACGAGTGGAAAAACACTTGAAAAAAGAACCTCTCTTACTTGTGTAATAATATATGACGTGTCGCCCTGTGTTCCTACTACACTAAAAAATCTCTCTCTACTAACATAATATAAAGAAGTGGTTCAAGGAAAAATGGATTGGCCAGTCCAATAAGCTGATTTTCTAAATTGAATTTGGGACCCAAATACTCACGTGTGTGTGTCATAGAATATTAAAACAAAGAGGCCCAATTAGTTAATTCAATATTAAAGAAGAAACCCAAGGGTAATTAAACCCACCTAGTCAACAGTCAACACACACAAGGCCCCACCATCTCTCAAAGTGCGTGTTTACTTACAAAGATGAAAAATCGGAATTATTTTAATTTGAGTGTTTTTTTTTTGTGGTTATTAAAATACGAGTATAAGAATCATTTTAATTAACTTTTTTATGTTGTTATTTTCAAATATTGTCATAATCTTAAAGGAAAAGAAAGGAAGCCTTTATTATTCCTGTGCTATTGGACTTGCATTGGAAATAGAATCCCGTTCCTTTTATGCTTTAACGGCATAAACAATAGCTTGAGATTTGAGTCCATTTTAATTGGTTGTCTAATTCAGCCCACCAAATGGGCTCTAAGGGTTATTTTCAAGTTCCAGTGGATGTGCAAACCAACTCTCATAAGGGTTAGAAGAATGCAATTTGAAGTAATCCAAATTAAACAATAAATGTATATTGTTTGATTGCATTCGATCACGGAGCATCGTAGAAGACAATTTTGTGTTTTGATTATATTTATTATTTTTTTTCTTTCTCTTTTTGTAGTTTTGATTGTTCTAAGTCAGGATATAATAAAAGATATTGTGATTAATAACCATAAAAATTTAGGTAATGCTGTTGAGGACTTTGAATCTATAAGCTCCTCTCCTCAGGCCCCAAAAATCATAGGGTACGCCATGCAAATCAACAATATAAGTATCAAGTAACATATTCATAATGAACTGTCAATTTATTAATATATTTGGCTAATCAAACAGTCTCTAACTCGAATAATTTTTTTGTAGGGATGATCTACGAATGAAGATTTAAAAATTGAACAGTTCCAATTATAAAGTTTATACAGTAATGATACACTATTCACGAATGGTGGAATATGTGCATTCCGATGAAGGGAACGCCGGTATAATGCTTGCATGCATGTTTCAAGCTCGGAAATGCGCGCATGGATAGACTGCTGTAATGTGTTTATGTGTTTCCAAACGGCAAGAGAGCTATTGCCATTTTATGAGAAAATGGAGAGGGAGAAGAAAATACATCAATGTTACCTTGGCAATACAGAATTAGGGTCTGCAGGCCGCCATCTATAGACATTTCTGGCCGTCCACTTTCAGACTGTCAAACTCTTTCTGAACAAAAAGGGCAGCTCGATGTGTCATAGAGTGGATAGGTATAATCATAAACCCTAAACTCCGTTCTTTACAAATCGCAGCTGGTGATAACTACTTTTGCACAGTAATTGGCCTTCATGAAGGCATAAATTTATTAGAAGAACATAAGCAAATAAGCCAACGCTAAGCAACATATTTCCCCTAGCTAATTATTGGCAGAGAAATTAAGATATGAATGAACATGCTAAATCAAGCCACCTGGGAAATGAACTTGACGCAAATTCTTCCTTGGCCATTTTCTTTTGCCTTTTCTTGCTGTGTAGCTTCTTTCAATTGATGATGAATATTTATGTTCATTTGAGTATTATTTCTTTGTAAGAAGTTGTCAAATCTCCATCCTTTTGATGGTATTCAAAGAAAAAAATTGTAGAGAATCTCATTCCAAGTATCTGGGACTCCACAGAGACACCAATGAGTACAATCCATTCCCGTGCGGCCTCCCAACCCATAAATTGAAGGATGTCCATCTTTACGCAGGAGCGAGAGGTTTGTTATATCGAGCAATGTCACTGGCTTTTTGATAGTGCTTAACACATTCTTCAGCACACCCAAAGCTGGTGGCGAAGCTCCTGGATAGGGCCCAAGCAAAGGCTCCTTCTGCCCGACACAACTTTTTGCACTTGGTTCATGCCATTCACTGCCACTAAAATAAAAAATAAGAGAAGTAAGAGACTATAAATTTGATTGATGTAATTGGAAAAAAACTAACTCTATAGACAAGTCTTCACACCAAATTATTCGAAATTCATAACGATAGTCACATGTATGTAGATAATTATCACTCATTTATTTGCACGTAAGTGTTAATTTTTTTTTGTACATCCAGGATTGGCAAACACTCATGATGACATCTAATAAAAAAAGTTGAACTTGATTCATGAAGTTGACATTTTAGAAAGGTCATTCAACACTTTTCCTTAAGTTATAAAAAGGTAGCTTACATAAAACTACCCTAACTATTGGATCATTAATAGTTTCATATCTCATCTTTAAAAAATTTCAATATCATACCTTATCTTTGAATTTGTTGCAATATCATACATTCCGTCAATTGTCTGTCAAATGCTGATGTGGCATAAGGCGGGCCCCACTTTTTATTAAAATAATTAAAAAAATAATTAAAAAAGAAAAAAAAACCAAATCCAGATTCCCCCAAACCTTCCTTCCAAACCTAGAACCCACCACCCTCACCTCCCTCGCAACCCCTCACGTTCTCCCTCCCGAGCCTCCCAACCACCTCCCTCTCCTTCGCTCTCTTCACCTTCCCTCCCATTCAAAACTTAAAAAAAAAACAAAAACAAACAGTTGAGGTGGTTTGACTTCGACGGGAAGGATGAGGTGGTCCGGGAAAGGAAGGGTTGGGTGGGGTGGGTTGCGCGGGGGGGGGGGATGGTGGGGTTCTGGGTTTGGAATAACGAAGGTTTTTGTTTTTGGAGGGGGGACGATGGATGGAAGGAAGGTTTTTGGGGGGGGGGGGAGGGACGACACAGATGACGGATGGAAGGGAAGTTTTTTTTGGGGGGGGGGGGAGCAGTGGCCAAGCCATGATTTCTCGAGGGGAGGGGCGAACTTAAAAGAATGCAAGGTTAAAGAAAAATGGCAACAACTAAATCTTTTTATATAGTAATGTCTTCCATAATTAATCAATACAAACAAATTACAATTGTTGCCAGCGAGGTTTCATGTCATGAAAACGTCGCATAATAGGCTCATTATCAATAAAAGCAAATACATCTTTCTCAATGTAAACAAGCATGCTATCACTTAACCATTGATCTCCCATTTTGTTACGCAATGGTGTTTTCACAATCTTCATAGTAGAAAAAGCTCTCTCCACCGAAGAGGTTGCAACCGGTAACACCAAAGCCAATGTAAGAAGTTTATACACTAACATATAGCTTTCATACCTCCCGGTCTTCACTAACTCTTTTGCAAGATCACTAATTCCTCTCAATGATGAAAATTCACTATGCATCTTCATATCATGTATGTAATTGTCAAGTTGAATTGGAAGATTCATGAGGTACATACGATCAAAATCTTGAGGATAAAGTTGGGCTAAACGAACAATTTTTGCTTTGTCAAAAGATGCAAAATTATTCACCGGACTCAAACATGTCATACAAAGAAGTAACTCGGTGTTTACCTCATTGAAGCGATCATTCAACTCCTTTAGTTGCATATCAAGGACTTGAAAATAGAGGTCCACACGATAGTAATGGAAGTTTGTGATTTTTGGAACTTTACGCCTTTATTTTCTAGGTACGAAATGCAAATCCTCTATGTTAGGAACGATAATATCATGCTCATCACAAAACTTTTCTATATCATGAAGCAAGTCCCCAAAGTCATCATCTCTCAAGGATTGTAGTATTTGCTTGCATACTTCCACTAACGCCATCGCATTCACAATATCTTGATCTTTCTTTTGCAATGCTTGTGATAACTCATTTGTAATTCCCAATATAAGTCTCATCAACAAAAGGTGAAATGCAAAATCAAAAGTTTGTATGTCTTTGAATAACCTAGTTGCTTCACCGAGATTATCTTGGTTGCGATCACTTTTAATCCATTCAACCACCTCCACCACGACTTCAAACATAACAATAATACTAACTATAGTACCATAATGCGAGTTCCACCGTGTATCACATGGACGCATGAGACTCATTTCTTGATTTAACCCTTTACCCGTTTCAAGATTACCAAGATCAAGAGCTTTATGAATTTGTTCTTGTTGTTTCTCTCTAAATGCATCACGACGCTTACACGATGATCCAATAAGATTCACCAAACTACTAGCATTAATGAAGAAATTGGCAACATCCTCATTTTCCTTTGCCACGAATACAAGAGCTAGTTGGAGTTGGTGTGCAAAACAATGAATATAAAATGCTTGAGGGTATTTGTTCAAAATCTTTGTTTTAAGACCATTTAACTCACCTTTCATATTGCTAGCTCCATCATAGTCTTGTCCTCGTAACTTGGACATACTCAAATTTGTTGTAGCAAACAATCTCTCAATGGCCTCTTCAAGCGAGTTACTAGTTGTAGATGAGACATGTTGAACACCCAAAAACTTTTCAATTGCTTCTTCTTTTTTGTTCACATAATGCAATACCACTGCCATTTGCTCTTTAGTTGAAGAATCACGTGCTCCATCAACCAAAAGAGAAAAAATGCACCTTCCATATCTTTAGTGATTGCATCTACAGTTTCAATGGCACAAGCACGGACAAGATCTTTTTTAATATCGGAAGAAGTATACTTAAGATACTTGGGAACATTCTCAAACACAACCTTCCTAACTTGTTCATTATGCCTGGAAAGAAATTGCATAAGCTCCAAATAATTGCCCCTATTGCTTGATTTCAACGATTCATCGTGGCCACGAAAAGGCAAACCATGTCCCAACAACCATCTTGTGCCCTCAAGTGAGACACTCAATAAAGTACGATAATTAATGCGAGCTTCATCGGTTTGCTTAATCACAAATGTTTCAATGTGTTGTTTTTGTGCCATCAAATCTCTAGCTTGTTGTACAGTTTTATTATGAAGACTTCCAACACCTCTCTCATGGACTCGAAGATTTTCGGGTCATTTCTTCCAATTTGTAAACCCTATCTCAGTAAAGACATCACTTCCAGTGCTACCCATTTGATCAAAATCACATTTGAAAAGATAACAATAATGGCAAAATGCAGCATTTTTGGATATACTATACTCCAACCACTTAAACTTATCAAACCAACGAATGATAAAACATCGATTGTCGATAACCTTTCTTGGCATGATGTGGTCTCTAGGTTGACAAGGCTCAACTTGAAGATAGTGTCTACGAATTGCTTCATGATAATTAGGTGGATAATCAAGCATTCGACGTCTATGTGCAGGGTCTGCAGGAAGATTAGCCAATATTTCATCCAACTCAGTGACTTCACTTTGTTGTGACCTACTTGGAATATTTGAAGGAGGAGGAGGACTACTCGGAATATTTGAAGGAGAAGGACTACCCGAAATGTTTGAAGGAGGATTTAAGCATTGTTTCTTATAGTATCGTTCCATTACGTAACTGTAAAATGAAAAGAAATAAAAATTCTTAGACTCTTAATCCTAAAGTAGACTATACTATTATTATAGTATGCATACTAACTAATCCAACCAACCAACAATTCAATTAATCAAAAGTACTAATATTAGTTAAAGATGGCTCATTGCGTCCATCCTAGTGGCTTATTACCAATAATTTTAGTTAAAGATGGCTTTTGACATGCCAATTTATCTATATGTACAATTATACATACATATGATAAGAGTAAGAAGCAAATTAAAAGCACGATTCTTCTAATTCCCAATTCGTATCAATAATTTCACCCTAAAATAATTTCATAATTTTATATCAATAATCATAGAAGCATATGATTCACATCAATAATCAATAACCAATAACCATATTAATGCATTACCATATGATTCTATACCAATTAAATGAAATTTGTATTAAATAATTAATTAGGTTTATGGATTATACATTTAAGAATTAAAATTTTTACCCTTAAATGGTGATTGGTGGAAGCCGACTCAAGCTCAAGGTGGAGAGGAGAGGAGAGTGGCTTGTGAACTGTGAAGGCTCAATAGAAATTAAAGGGGACTCACTTGGCGTTGGCTTGGCTGCTGGGATTTTGGGGAGCAACTTGGCTCTCTTTCTCTGTGTTGATTGGTAAACAAATGGCAGGAATAAGCAGTAAAGGGGAATGGGGTCGAGGGGGGGACATATGATATAGGGTTTTGGGGTGACACGCGGAAGGGAAGCGGTCCCCCTTCATATATATATATATATTTTAATTCAAATATACAAAACGGCGCCGTTTTGTATAACAATTTTTAAATTTTTTTTTACCAGGCCCAAAACGACGTCATTTTGGCCTGGTTAAAAAAAAAAAAAAAAAACAGCAATCTGTGCAGATTGCAGATTGCCCAGAAAAACAGAGGAGATGCACCAGGGTTTTTCGGGGAGGCGCGCGCGAGGGGAGTGGAGAAGAGCTGGGTTCAGTGGAGTTTCCCGGCGAGGGGAGTGGCGGCCGCCACTCCTCGCCCTCACGTGGCTTCGCCACTGGGGGGGAGACAGAAGGAAGATTTGGGGGGGGGGGGGGGAAGACAGAAGGAAGGTTTTGTTTGGGGGGGGGGAAGACGGACGGATGGAAGGTTTTGTGGTGGGGGGGAAGATGTCGTTTTGTGTTGGGGGGGCGGAAGACGGACGACGGAAGGAAGCTTCTGTGGTGGGGGAGGGGAAGACGGACGATGGAAGGAAGCTTTTGTTGGGGGGGGGGACGGACGGAAGGAAGATGGGAGGGGGGGAGGGACAGAGGGAAGGTTTTTGTTGTGGGGGATCTGGGTTTGGTTTGGTTGGTTTTTTATTTTTATTTTATATTTAAATGTTTTAATATTTTAATATTTAATAAATTTTTAATAAAAAGTGGATCCCACCTCATGCCACTTCAGCGTTTAACAAAAGAATTGATAAACAACTGACGGAAGGTATGACATTGCAACAAATTCGAAGATAAGGTATGACATTGAAATTTTTTAAAGATGAGGTATGAAACTGTTAATGATCCAATAGTTAAGTTAGTTTTATGTAATTTACCCTTTATAAAACCATAAGAGAGAAATTGCACTATAAAGAGTGTTGTGAAAATAGGATGATTTTCGTGTAATACTAATAACGGTTTCTCTTAATTTAAAATCCAATGATGATTAGTTTAGATTAGTTATATAAAAAACTTACTTGTAATGAGAGGGAGAAATTCCTTGGAAGAAAACCCTAGACTTTGCTGGATCAATGTTTGAATCCACCCATCCAGCCCAAGTCTCGAGCGCCTTCTGAAAAGCAAGCATGCGGTCAATGTCTTTGCTCGTCTGGCCTCCTACTTCAACATAATCCCATCTGCAAAATTATAATAGTTAGTTATGTATTCACCTTCTAACTACAATTAAAGTCTAACTAAAAGAAAACCAAATATTTTGTAGTAAATATAGTTTTAGGCCGGCTTACGGTTGAGAGGGCCCTCTGCGATTCCACCAATGCCAAGTGTTAAAGATGAGCATGTCAATATCCTTCCATAAGTTGCCTCCCACAATTGAATCAAGCTTCAAGACCCTCCCAATCTTTTCTTTTACAATATCTACTAGATACATATTACTGTCTAGCATCACTCTAATTCCATAATCCTGCAAGTATTGATAAAGATCCCAAAAGAAAATTGAGAAAGAATCACATGCTTCGTGTTTGGTAGGATCATGACAAGAGTTCTTGTCAACTAGTTTGTCTAAGGGAACTGAAATGTCAAATTAAATTTCACGAGAGAAAATAAGCCACATGGATGGACCCACTTAAGTTACCTAATGAAGCTGAAGAAAAAGTCTATAAACTTTTGGCATTGATGCATTGCACTCACCTACTACATTTATGTGTGATTTGACTTCACTTGATTTAAGTTGGTTATCAACTAAACAGGCAATAACATTTTATTGCTAAAGGTTTAATCATATTATATGTTATTAAGCTGTTAATTTTGACTACTTACACATATACAAATGTATGTGAAAGGTTTTGATCAATTCATATCTTGACTTGATAACAACAGGTGAAACTATATGACAATAGAATTATTCTCATGACAAACAGGAAACAATACCCATAACGAAATGTAGATTAGACGAACCGTGAATTCGAAGATAGATACAGTGTCTACTCTTGTCACATTATAATTAGCAGTTGGTACAGCAGAGTGAAGTATGCATGTCAAGGACTGCCATTGATTTCGGCTCAATGAATCTCCAACGAAAATGATGTTCTTCCCTCTAAATCTTTCGAAGAAGTCAAGTGCGTCAAATCTGAATATCAAAGTTGTCAAAAAACTTTAAGCTGGGTTTCCATAGGATAAACTATCTATCATTCAGGTAAAACATGTAAATGCAGATTAATAATGTTTTTCTTCTATCAAATAGTTTAACACGTTATACACTACGCTGTCTGGTGTTGATTAACATTTTAAGTACACAATATGCTTCTGCATTCAACAATTATCGATATGATGAACATGCCACTTGTGTATGCGCGTGTTAAAAGAAAATAAAGTTAAACGATAATCATTATTCATCATGAATCGAGAGGATAATCCATATAGGCATACAGTTCAACGACAGGAAACTGCCAGTAGGCTGCAGGTTCAATGCATATAGATTTAGCATTGTTTTCTTTCGAGCAGTACAATTCGTTCTGGCCAAATACTTTTCTGCCGATCCTAATTTTACAGAAACCAGAGAGATAGAGAGATTGGTGCACCTTGCTAAATCACAGTCAAGTGGTTGCCATCTGTATTTGGTGTGAATCTGATCGGGACGGCCATTCTTTTGGCAGCTAAACTCGCGCTCAATGAAGGGGCATGAGGAAGGATCGTAGAGCGGGTAGGACTGGTCCAGAACCCATCTACCTTTGAAGAAATCGCACGACGATGGTGACTCATCACCTCTTGCACGTACTACTACTTGGTAATCACAAACAACAAGAAGGAGGAGGAGGTGAGCAGCTTCCATGAATCCTTTGTGTGTGTGAGAGAGAGAGAGAGAGAGAGAGAGAGGTTTACAAGAAATGATATGGGACTACAAACTCTTCTCTTAATCTTCTCTTTTTATCTTATAGCTAGTTAGCTACTATATTTATAAGTCTTGTCTGGAGTATACGTGAGAGAGGATGGAAATTAAGTTGGCAATTTATTTATCTTTTAGTTTTCTCCTCACGCGCATCTCTATTTGCTTATAATTTTTTGGATAGAATAAATTAAAAAAAGAATTAAATAACAGCTTTAAATAAAAAATTTCAAAAGGACAAAAAGATGGGTAGAAAGTATTGTCCCTTGTTTTTGGTCATTATCTTTTGGGGTTGAGCGTTTCCCATGCTAAATCGGTAACACGGTAAATGTGTAGCCAATTTTAGTTAAGAAAAATCTTGCTTTGCAATATATTTTATAGAAAAAATCCTCCGTCTTTGATTTCCTATTTACTAAATTTTAAGTTCCTTTTTCTCAACCAACTTACTCTATTCCCTCCTTTTCAACCATCACCAAGAGACGAGCAACCGGCAAAACTCCGTTCTCCCTAGCGTTTGCCTCTAAGGCAATCATTCCTCCCAATATCAGAACTGTTTTGCCGAATTCTGAGCAGAACGAGAAGGAGATGACCACAAATTTAGACTTGGCAAATAAAGAGCGCAAAAAAGTTATCACCCGCATTGAGGTCTATCAGCAGCAGCTCATCTCCAGCTACAACCACATAGCCAAAATAGTATAGTGGTCATATAAGGGAAAGAATAAAGTACTAATTAAAATACTAATTTAGGAATTTCGAATTTGTAATTTTATGGTCATCTTCTGGCTTTTCAATGTATTGGCAGCTGAGTCAATGTATCTATTCGAATTTGATTCTCAATAATATAGGCATTTTCTTTTGAAAAAAAAAAAAACTATAATTGTATCATTACTTACTGGTGACCTAATTAAATTCCAATATAGTAATTAGACGTGACTCATTTCATCTAATTACGGGTTAATGTTCATTATAAGAACTTACCGTTGTAGTAACTAATTTTTGTTTTTGGTCAAATTTGTAGTAACTAATTTATTCACGGAAATTAGCTCATCATGTGTCATATTCAGTTGATAACTAGACATTGGAATAATAGTCGGTGACTTTAACTAGTCCCACTCCATTGTCTTATTTTCCCACCTACCTTATAATTTCACTCATCATAAAAACTTAATAAAAAACTCTCTTTTCCCACCCACCCTTATTCCTAATATAACCTTTTATATATCTCTAAAATCTTTTAAATTTTATTTATTAGAATATATATAGGATATATATATATATATATATATATTTATATATCTCTTTAACAAAAAAAATGATAAAAATCGGTTAACCATCCCAATTCCAAAACCATCGAAGCAACAGACCTCCAAACCCCATCTACACCACGATCCCCAATACGACAGCTGCACCAACACCCAGGCTCCACCCTATCCAACCTTCGCAGCACCACCATAGCCTCAAAACTGCCCACCTCCATGGGTTTACCCATCTTCCTTTGCTGTACACAATCTCTTTCACTGCTGGAATTGGATCAAGATTGTACACTGTCATGAGAGAAAGGGAAAAGGAAGGATTTGAAAAGAAGGTGGAAAAGAAGGTAGCCATCATCAATGCCGCCGTGAGGGAGGCGTGTGGTTGTGCACTTATCGTGGTTATAATAGTGAGAACGGGGTGGGAGTTTTCTGATTTTTTTCGTTTTTTCTTTTTTTTTTGTTGCTATTTTTGTTTTTAATGAAAAAAATATAATGCTTACTTGACAAAATACAATTTGTTATTGTTTAGGTCCTTACGGTCATTCTCTAAAAGGACATAGTTGTTAATGAAATTTTCACATTTAAGTGGGGTGGAGAAATAAGAAAAGGGGGTGGGTTTAACACTTCTCTATTTATATATTGTTTCCTTAATACTTTTCTTGCTTGTGTCTTAGTTGCTTCTGATGAGCAACTGGCTAATCTTTATCCCTTGTATAGTTGCACGATTTATCACATCATTATACTAAAAAAAAAGATTTGGGGTTTATCAAGAAAAAGAAAGATCTAAGACGATATCGATGATAATGTGATGTCCATTTTGAACCTGGATTGTCTGCTCTCCTCATCTCATTTCCTTCCCATCCTCTTTTATTTTTGTGGTCACGGTTAAATCACGTCAATATTTTATATTCTCATTGTTTTTTGTCTTATTATTTGTATAAAAAATTAATATAAAATGTTGACGTGACTTAACTATGACCACATAAATAAGAGGGGATGAGATGGCGGAGTGCAGACAATCCAGGTCCTCTTAGAGCAATTCCACCCCTAAGGACTTTGCGCCAGCACCCAGCGCATTTATCCACTCAAATGAACAGTAACAGGCTCCAATGAACAGTAATAGGCCAAGGCATCTCCACCCCTAAAAAAATGCGCTGGCACCCATCCCATTTAAACTATTTTTAAATTTTGTCTAAAAGAATAAAAAAATAAAATAGTTTTAATTTCGTATAGGATTTTTAACCAATCTCGTCACGCCACATGTCATTATCTGAACGTACTATTTTGTGAATAGATTTCCGCTAAGATTTTCAACCAATCCCGACACGCCACGTGTCACTTCCGGTTTACAATAATTTAGCCAAGATTTCGATAAGATTTTCAACCAATCACGTAGTGCCACGTGGCATTGTCCAGAACCTCATCCTTTCTTTTTTTGTCCATATAAACCCTACATCCCTACATCCATCCTCACACCAAGCTCAATCCTTCTTTTTAGCTCAGAATCCTTGTTCATCGTTTTCAAATCTTGAGTTCTTATTACAATGTCTTCTTCAAGAAGGGTGTATAAACAGTTGCAGGAGCAACAACAAAGGTTGTTGGCACAACAGGCAGAATTGGCCAATCTCGAGGAAGGTGGAAGTGGAGGTGGAGATGAGGCTTTCTTCATGGAGGAGGATGAAGATGATCACCATAAAAGGCAGAAGGCCTCACATTCCCGCCGTGTCATGGAAGCCGTGGGTCAGATAGCCAAACCAAGACGTGTTGTAAACCTCGATAGAAAAAGGGAAAAACGAGGTAAAAATCTATTGGAATATTATTTTATTCCCAATAGCATATTCCCTGATCATATTTTTAGACGGCGTTTTAGAATGCAACGAAATTTGTTCAACAAAATCATGAGTGATATTTGAAACCATGATTCATACTTTGTGCAAAAAGAGGATGTTTTTCATGTTCTAGGTCTTATTCCCAAGCAAAACATTACGGCATCCTTGCGAATGCTTGCATATGAAGCATCTGCAGATCAAGTGGATGAGATCGCGAGGATGGGAAAAACAACTGTTTTGGAGTCCCTGATGCGGTTTTGCTCTGCAATTGAAGCCCTTTACACCAATGAGTACCTCCGGACACCCACGCCAAGGGACATGCGAAGGCTTCTGAGGAAGGGTGAGATGCGAGGCTTCCCTGGCATGATTGGAAGCATGGACTGCATGCACTGGACTTGGAAAAACTGTCCAAGTGCGTGGCAAGGAGCATATGGCAACAGAAAAGGAGCCAAAAGCATCATTTTGGAAGCGGTGGCTTCATTTGATACATGGATTTGGCATGCTTTTTTTGGTGTTCCAGGAGCTCAGAATGACTTAAATGTCCTTCCCCAATTCCCAGTGTTCGACGAACTGCTGCAAGGAAACTCGCCGAGATGCACATATACCATTAATGGTACCCAATACGAGGGATCATACTACCTTGTAGATGACATTTACCCAAGGTGGTCAACATTTGTCAAAACAGTGCCACATCCACAGACTGAAAAGGAAAAACACTTTGCAAAATGTCAAGAAGGGTGTAGGAAGGATGTCGAGCGTTGTTTTGGTATCCTGCAAGCTCGTTGGGCGATTATCAGGGCTGCAGCTAGAATGTTTGATGTTGAGGCTCTTCGATCCATCATGATGACGTGTATTATTCTCCACAACATGATTGTTGAAGATGAGTATGATTATGATGGCGTCGATGAATATGAGCCGGATCCGATGAACAACTCAAGAACACGTATCTATTGTGCTCATGATGGGACTGAAGATCCAGTGCAACACAAGCCGTTGGAACGCGATGGACGTTACAATGAATTGATCATTCAGCGGTACACTAATGTGCAAGAGCCATACTGGCACGTAACCCGCCAGAATGACTTGATTGAGCACCAGTGGGGATTGCATGAAGGTGAAGATAATTAGAATGAGGCTTGTGGTTGAAGAATAAATTGTATTTTTTTTTAAGTTTATGTAATTCTATGTAGTGTGTTTTGTTTTTAAGTTTATTTAGTGAGTTTATGTAATTCTATTTATTTGGTGAGTTTATGTAATTCTATGTAGTGTGTTTTGTTTTTAAGTTTATTTAGTGAGTTTATGTAATTCTATGTATTTGGTGAGTTTATGTAATTCTATGTAGTGTGTTTTGTTTTTAAGTTTATTTGGTGAGTTTATGTAATTCTATTTATTTGGTGAGTTTATGTAATTCTATGTAGTGTGTTTTGTTTTTAAATTTATTTGGTGAGTTTATGTAATCTTATTTCATGTGTTTAAATAAAGTACAAAAGAAATAAAGTTTTAAAAATAAATAAAGAATTACATAAGAAAAAAACATAAAAAATTACATAAGAAAAAAACATAAATAAAGTTCAAACCTAAAAAAAGAAAAAAACATAAGAAATTACATAAGAAATTAAATAAAGTTCAAAAGAAAAAAGAAAGAAAAAACATAAAAAATACATAAAAATTATACAAAGTCTCTCGAGTTAGGATATGTGGTGCTAGGATCATGGTTGTCACAAAAGTAGCTAGAACCCCCTTGACTTGTTTCCGCATCTCTTGCACGCCTCCTTCGCATGACATCTCTTTTTTCCGATGTCCGAAAATATTTAGAATTCGGAGACAGTCCTACTAGAGACTTGCTTATAGTGTCACGATCTGCTTGAGCCATCCTTTCTTCTCGAAGCAATTCATTTTCTCGATGAAGTGCTTCTTTAACCAGCTCGTTCTCTCGATTAACTACTTCTCTTT